CTTATATCGAATGTGTCTCAGAATCAAGGAAATAAAGTAAGTACGCTGTTGCCATAGCCAGCATGACAATTTTAAGACAAGAATAGCTAAGCAACTAGGGAGTAGAGTCCAGGCTTTAGCAAACCCATGACAATGGTCATAACTTTAAAAGAGCATGAGTTTTCTATTAACAGCCTGATTATCCCCAGGCCTCTGCAGCCTGCAGATACAAGTGAGTCAAACTGCTTGGGCCCCCACATTTTGCTGGTTCTGAACCCTCAGTGCCAAGCTTTAGGACTTCAACACCTCTCCCCAGGTCTCCCCAGTTACTTCTGGGAGTCCTCTATGCCTTCTATTTGCTTCAGCTCTGTCCTTTCTGTAGATGTCCACTCTGTGCCCAGTCACTTGAGGCAAGGTGTATCTCCCCGTACTCAAAATCGGAGCATCCTCCAGATAAATTTTCTTGCTAAATTTTCCTGCTTAGTTAAGGGCCAAGTAATCTGGGTCCCCTGCAGACATGTTAGCAATAGTCTATGTCTTTGTTGGAATTGCTGTAATTCAGGAAGTGTTTTGGTTGGGAAGGAGGGTGATTGTGAGAAGCAAGTGTCAATCTTATCTCTTTACAATCCCCTGCTCCCTTTTAGGGCATCCTCTGAATTTCTAGATCCTGACTAGAGAAACACACCAAGTCCTCAGTTCCTTGGCAGAGCACAGATGACCTACATCCATCAGCCTGTAACTGACCAAGTCTTTTCTGGCTCGCGTGCCAGCTTTGCCCACTTTCGTCTCTTAGATGACTCCCCACTGTTGCCCCTAGGACTTATCTTCCAACACGCTACCCTCTAACATGTAAAAAGAAAAGAAAGGTCAAAAATTCTGGGAAGGGAGAATCTGTTCCCCCCACTTTCCTCATCCAAATGAAAAAAGGGAATGAGAACAACTTCCATTGTGAAATTCCCCCTGAAGTCTGCCCATATAGCCCTTTATTTAGCTTAGTTCATGGGCTTCTGTGCCATTCGTCCCCAGCATTAAGAGAGCGGTTTCTGGTTCAGACTTTAGGAGAAATTCTGGAACCACTAGTGTTTCTGCAAGCATCGAAGAAAAAGTCCATTCTCTGGAACAAAGCTGTGTTTAGGGAGCCCTTGCTACCCTCTGTGGGCCTTTATATATACAGCCTTCAAGTTTCCATCAGGAAGAATCTTCATTTTTAATCTAGGGATGTTCCTACATCTTTTGATCATTTTCCTTTCCCTTCTCTCTATCCCTCCATCTCCCTGTCATTCCTCTTCTTCCACCTCTGAGGATCTGTGCACAAAATTCCTCTTAACAAGCCCCTTTGTCTCATACATATCAATGCATGCAAATGGACACTTGGGAGGAGGGGGATGCTGGTTCTTCAGATTCAACCAGATTCATCATTTTAATTTGATTCCCCCAGGGACTCTTGCCACAATTATATACACCACCAAAGAGAGTGAATAACAGTGAGTAATAAGCTCCAATTTAATATCCTGATAGTATGTTTGGACTTCAGAGAGGAAAATTCTATACTATAATATACCTAAGTATTTTTTTTAAAAGGTAAGTAGTCCATTTAGGAGGGCTGCTGATAGGAAATGTCGTCCTGGTCCTAAATGAAGATCAACTCAACTACCGAAATGTGAGGACTGCTAGGAATAACGTTTGCAGTTGTAAACGGCAGCAAATATTCGAGTTCATGCTGGAGAATATCTATGGGGAGGGTGACTCATTGCATATATTATTGATGGAGCTGGGCTATGATGTGAGATAGTAGTGAAAATAACTTGCAAACTGAAATCAAATATAATATTCTGGCTTTCCACAGGAAAAGCTCAACTACCAATTTTCTCCTCCTACTCTTGAAACATTCTGACTGGATTAGGGTTTCAACTATATGCCTTATTTTCAGGCTCAATTAAATATTTAAACATTTCCTGGCATTCAGCTAAATGAACAAAATGTTCATGGTAGTAGTTCTGTAATAATAGAAATGCAGCTCTAGAGAACTATGGTTAAATCGAGCAGTGCAAGTGACCATTCTTTAGAAGCAATCTGAACCACCCATGTGGATTATTTTACAAGTCAATGTAATCAGGAAGCTCCATATTGGTCTTTTATAATAAAAGAAGTCAAATGGTTACACCTGCTGGCACTGGCACAAGTCCCTAATCATTTCTAGACTCAGGCATCAAATACTACAATCTCACTTCTTCCATCGGCAAACAACCCGGACCTGGTGAAGGGTACGGCTTGGCTTTTATATTCAAATTTCAATCATTTATTTATAAAACATAACATACAGGCTTCTAAACACTAAGAGGTAAAAAACATCATTTTGTTGTACCATTTACCTTTACGTTTATGGAGGATTAGTATAAATCCATCTCCTTTACTAGAGAAATACTTCAAAGTTCATTCTTTACTAAATATGGGTCAATAATGTCTTCCTTGGAAACAAAAGACAGGAAACCATTGTTTAAAAATAATTCTTGGGGCTGGCATGGTGGCGTAGTGGCTAAGTTCGAGCACTCTTCTTTGGTGGCGTGGGGTTCGCGGGTTCAGATCCCAGGCGTGGATCTACGCACCGCTTGTCAAGCCATGCTGTGGCAGGTGTCCCACATATAAAGTAGAGGAAGATGGGCACAGATGTTAGCCCAGGGCCAATCTTCCTCAGCAAAAAGAGGAGGATCGGCAACAGATGTTAGCTCAGGGCTAATCTTCCTCACAAAAAAAAAAATAATAATAATAATAATAATCCTCAAGTTCTTTCTTCATAGGTTACCAAATCAAATATTTTGGCTATTTTTAGTGCCTAAATAGCATCAAGAGGCTTTCAGTTTCAGATGAACAGTTTTATGAGCCTTTGTATATAGTATAGATTATTTCATTGTCTCATCTAAAGATGTGAAATTCTAGAACCATGGGGCAGTCGTTTGGTATTTTGTACCTTAAAAGGATAGTGTATTCAAACAATTGGTTAGAATCACTATAAATTAAACGAAATTTTATTTCATAGATCTATGTTTTCAAAATATGTGTTGTTTTGTATGTGGTTATACATAAGCCTAATAAAATGGATTGTCCCATTGTGTTACTTATTTGTCCAGGTCTATTCAGGAGGTCAGAACACTGCTAGCTAGAAGGACCCCTTCCAGAGGCCATGTTTTGATTTGGGATCTGGAAACAAAGTTGCTGAGAGAAGTCAGGTCAGTTTTGCTATGAGGGAAATCATTAGTCTACCAAAGGGAATCAAAGCTTAACAAAGGATTTCATACTTTGAATGGAAGGGCAATGAAACATAGAAACAAGAAAATAGATAGCAAGGTTGGGGGCTGAAATAATTCAGAGAAGGAAAACCTAGTGCAAGTTCAAATCTGGTGATTTGGAATCTCAACTTTGAATGGACAATATGTATTCCATGTTATTTGGCTTAGTAATTCAGGGGCTTCTTTATTCTTCATATTCAGTTTTGACAGAGAATTTCTGGTTCAGAGTCAGAGCATTCCTAAAACCACTAGTGTTTCTGCAGGCATTGGAGGAAAAGTCCACTCTCTGGAACAAAATAGTTTTTCGGCAGTCCTTGCTGCCGTTTTCAGGCCTTTATATACATAGCCAAATCCCTCATTAACCTTCATGTTTCCAACAAGAACAATTCTCATTTTATTTAATCTAGGGAGGCATATGTTTCAGGGAAAGACATTAATAGACACTACTGAGCTACGTGAAACAGTTATTGAATGTAAACCCAAAGGAGGGCTGAAGTTGGTTTGGATGCCCAGCTAGACACTTCACTGCAGCTACATGAGTATGGCAAATTGCTGAAATTTGCTGAGGATCCTATCATGTTCCACAAGACCATGCTTGCAAGAACTACCAGAATATCCAACAAAATCACTAGAATCTGAGACTTGCTCAAGGCTATTCCCTGGGAATGGGCAGCCAGACAATGAGCTAAGTGATACCTGACCACCTGCCCTCACTGGATTGAAGTCCTGATTTTTCCACTGTATAAATTACAAGCTCTGAGTAGAAATAGGGGAGAAGGTGGGTTGACATCCTGAGACACTCTATCCAACTGCTTCAACTTTACTATGCAGACCACCTCCCACAACTGAGAACCATGTAGGTGGGAGGACATGCTTTCAGAAATGTGAGTGGATGCTTGGAAAAGAAAGAAAATGCAACTACAATTTGAAAACCCATGTACTGTCTATTTGCATATGTCTTACTCCTTCTCTCCTAAATTCTCACAGTATAACAGTCTCTGATTTTATTAAGCATTTATTTTATTAAGCAACTATTACAGATTTACTCATTCTCCCTCCCTCTCATCCCCAAAAGAACAGATAGTTGTGACTGGTCAGACTCACTTTCTGAGTTCTGCTATCCCTAGCGTCTGGCACTGTAGACCCTTCATGCCACGGGAGCATGTTAGTCACTACTGGACTCAAGAGTTCTGAGGAGGCTTCAAATCCACTACATGAGTGGTGCTAGGAGTATCACAAGGCCCCTTTGGGAACCTGGTAAGGGAAAACGGGGAGGGTACGAGGCCAGAAGCCCTAGAGTCCCTGCCCCACATTGGCGCAGTTTTTCTTTATTTTACGTATTGGGCTTTTTCGTAAATTTCTGTTAGTATAAAGGGTTCAACAGATTTCAAGGCTTTGAAAACGGCCGGTGTGGTGGAAGAAGGTCCGTAAGGGGAGTCAGACTTGGTTTGAAGGCCAGGACCTCTCACCTACTGTGACAGGAGGGAAGATACCTTTCCTCTCTGATAATAATCGCGGCACTGCCTACCTCACCGGGTGGTGATATCGAAACACCACCACCAGAGAAAGTGGCGTCCGGCCGAGCCCGGGTTCCGCCAGCTGCCGCCTTCCGGCAGGAAGTCCCACCTCCGCGACCCCGACCCGCCGGACACACACCCCCACCCCCACACCACACGCCAGGAAGCGGACCTCGCGGGCAGAGGCGTCCACTCCGCACAGCAAGACCCCCACCCACCGCCTAAGCGTCCGTTCCAGCGGCAGACCCATGGATCCGTCCCGCCTAGAGTCCCACCCCACAGGCGGAGAGTCTGACCCCTCAGGCCTAGATTTCGACTGTACTGGCCAAGATTATTTCTCCACTGGCCACCGGTTCGACTCGCTCTACCAAGAATTGGACCTAGACTCTCTTAACGAAGATCCTTCTTCTCAGCCCATGCCAGGCGCCATGACAGAGACCTCTAAGGGCACATATTAATCCCACCCGACTGCCCAACCAGGGCATCTCACAGAGGCCGAGCAAGAGGAGCTCATATCCGCGCTCACTCATTTGGAGGCGGAAATTGTCACCCTTCGCCACGCTCTGGCAGCCAAACAGAGACGCTACGTGGAGCTCAGGAGGAAGCTGGGCCTAACGGCCTTGGTGGGGCTGAGGCAGAATCTGTCCAAGAGCTGGCACGACGTTCAGGTCTCCAACGCCTACATGAAACAAAAGACGTCAGCTGCCCTGTTCACCATGGGCTCTGCCATCTGCAGGAAGCTTGGAGACATGAAGTCAGCCACGTTCAGATCCTTTGAAGGTCTGATGGGGACAACGAAGTCCAGAGTTGCAGGTGGCAGAGAGCTGGGCAGTGACTGCCTTCCTTCTTCAGCAGAGAGTGGGGTTTCTGAGAGTGGGAACGATCCAGTTCCTGGGAGTGGAGATGATCCTGTTCTGGAGAGTGAGGATGACATGCTCCCCTTTCTGGAGCCAGAATGAGCCCCTTGGTAACCTTGCCTGGCCACCTAACCAGTGCAAGAACTCCCTTCCCTCATCACAGTTACAGTTTTGCCCATCAAAAACAAGTAGCCAAACCACAATTGGAAAGTTAATTCAGGAAATGGACAGAGTCCGATCTTGAGAAAAGTAATGCCCATCTGTACATAGATTTTTGCTGCCATTGAGATAGAGAACCCAACGTTTTGTATCCAGTTATTTTACACTGAAGTTTCTCCATGAAATGTATCACTATACTAGCCTTCCTGGGAGTGCATTTTAATGGACAGGACAATGGGTCTGGAGCGTTCTTAGGCAAAGCCCAAACTCTTTTTTGGAAAACTAGTCTATCAGAAGGCCAAAGTAGATTTCTGTTTAGAACAGGGAAGAGATATAAAATACTCTGTAATTTTATCCCCTCCCATTTCTTTCCTCTTTCCCTAAATCTTAGAAGTAACCTTAAAAGCTCCACCTGGACTACGATGTTTATTTTAAAAAGACGATCAAGAGAACTCATTTTTCTCTTGAGACCCTCAGACAGGGGGAAAAAATATTAGACTAATTGTTACATAATACTATAACTTTTATAAAACTTGATTTTATTTCAAAGCTTCTGATTAAGCAAAGTAACTTTAGCTTCAATTTAGGAGATTGTTTACTTTGGACTCAAGCTGAAATTGCAACTTTACTTTGCCTTGTGCTTTGTGTGTAATCTTTTTATGTATCAAAATGAGGGTTTTCAAGTTTAACCCTTGTGGCAGCATGTCTCTGCCACAGCAGCATGCCACCTAAAAGGAAGAACATTAATTCTCTGTTCTGCTGCAATTCCTATTTACCACCTCCAGCTGAGGGGCTGAAGGGAAAACAGCATAGCCAAATTCAAGAAAGATAAACCTCTGTCTTAGGCAACATTTAAAACAGATTGCCTATCCCCTGTAATGCTGGTTGTCATGCCTTTGAATGGACCTAACTAATTATATATCACTGGTCACCTTGACTCCAAGTCTGTCCTTGTTTATAGTTAACTCCAAGTGAGAAGGAAACAGAACCCAACCCTCAGGGGATGTCAGCTTAATAGGACCCTGCAGGAATCTGGTTTGGATTTGCTCAAAATTTCTCAGATCTGATTTTCACAGGAGCTATGATATTTTTTGTTTTGCTCTGCTTCCTTTTCCATTTTCAAAATGCCAGGACCTAGCAGCTCTTTCATTCCCCCAGTCATACTGTTTGAGGTAGAAGTTTGTGTCTTACTGGCTTTCAGCAGGGGGTCTAGGACCTTTATTTGCTTGGGTCTATATTGATAATGTCTCATGCCTAAAGGTAGTCCCTCCAGCCTAAGAAAATGAGCCTGTTTTGTTGATCTTGAATGCACCCCCTATTTTCCTTTGGTTTTCTATAAGCAAAACCAAATATGACTGTAAATACAAAAGTACTTGGTAAACTGTAAAGTCACCGATGTATCTCAACCCTCCACAGATTTCTGAGGACAAAGTTTTGCTTGGATTAAAACAAGATGTTCAACTATTTTACATGTTTGTTTTTTAATTTGTTATCAACCAAAATGGTTTTCTATGCTGAAGAACTAGAGACAAATTTGTAGCATGCATAAAGCCCAAGAAGTCCAAAAGGCAAGAGCTTTGACCCCATACTGCAGAAAACCTTGTGTTAGGAAAATTCTCAGGTTGACATCATGGGCCAACCCAGAATATGTTCTATTTTATTTAATAATTCAAACAAATGCAGTAACAGTTTCCTCCAATAAATCCTCAACTCCCTGAGAGCAGTAAAGAACATATATATTTTTGTTCATCATTGTATTCCCATGCCTGGCTTAGGGTAGATGTTCAATCAATACTTGTTGAACTAATGAAGTAATCAATATCACATACTTCACACAACAAATCTTGGATCCAAGAGATTATCAACAACATGAAGTGGTTGACAAGTTCCTCCTCCTTCTAAACAAAGCCTTTTACTTCCCTATTCAAAGACAATTTGAGACCCTACTATGTGTCAGGCACTGTGCTAGGCTCTGCAGGCACAGAAATTAATTAGACATGGTCCATGTTCCCTAGAAACACATTTTCAAATCATTACAATTCACTGCAGTCGGTACTAAAATTGAGGAAGTCTGTGGAGACGGGTGTTCAACTCTGCCTTAGTAACTCAGAAAAGAATTCAGAGAGGCAGAAATTCTTAGAGGACTAGTAGGAATTGGCCAGACAGACAAGAGTAGAACATTCCAGGCAATATCCAGAGGAACTAAGTCATGAAGGAATGTAATAGAATGGCATGTTCCAGGAAATACCAATGTCATTGTGGCTAGAGAGAGAAGGGAAGTGGTGAGAGATGAGGATGGAGAAATAAACAGGGTCAAGATCATAAATAGTCTTATGTGCTATCTCAGACATTTCTATTTTATCCTGTAGGAAATAAAGAGGCGTTGAAGGTACTTAAGTAAAAAAGTAACTTATATGCTATATCAGACATTAGTCTTTAATGCTGTAGGAAATAGGGAGGCATTGAAGGTACTTAAATCAAATTTGTGTTTTAGATAGATCACTCTGGTCACCATAGAAATAGATTGAGAAGTGTTTAAGAGGTAGAATCTCCAAGACTTAGGTAACCACTGCATGGGAGAGAGGGATGGAAAGATTTGTGAGTTGACAACAATGTAGAATTGGAAAGACTTGAGACTAACAATGCTGGAGCTGCACACTCATGTTGCTTTGGGTCTTTTATTGGATTCTGGCATACCTGCATCAATAGCCACGGACACTAAATACCATGCCTCCACGAGCATGTGGACTCTGGATCAAAGGTTTCCTCCAGATTTCCTTTCTTCCACTTGCTTCTATCCTCCCCATACATTGCTTCCCCTCATTCTCTAGCCTGTCTGTCTTCGTGATTTGATCACTTCTGCTCATCCAGCCCTATTTGGATTTTGTAGCCTAACTTCAACCTATTTAACTTTAACTTGGCCACTGCAGGATGCAATTTCCAATAGTTCCTGGAATATGTGAACCGTCAAAGATGCCCCATCCCTAGGTCTGGCTCAACACTTGAGAACCATTGATTAGGAGGTATATTGGAACAAAATTCCCTGAGGCTCTCAGTTTTCTTGTTCTCCTATTGCCCATATGAGTGAAGGGGTTGGGGTGGGAGGTAGAGATAAGGGTTGAAAGTTCCAACTCTCACAGATGACACTCCCCACGCAGCTGGCAAGGATGGGAGTAGAGTACAAAGCCCCTGTTCATTACCATCATACATACCACAGCATATTGCTAGCATCACACCCAGAGATGTTCACCAGCAGCTTCTGGAGGCTACTTTACTTCTAAGCTCCAGATTTCAGAGAAACTATATCACATACCTATTCTCATGGCTTGCATGGACTGCAAAGAGGTAAGCAGTGACCACTGACCCAGAACTGTGTGGGTCTTCTGATAGTGTTAGGCAATGTGCTTGATGGCCCTACCCATCAAGGGAACAATAATGCTCTTTGTTGATTCTGCTAGGGGAAGAGGTCAGTTGCATCTAGGCCATGTAATTTCAATTCTTGCCCATGAACTCCAATGTAAGAAAAAAAGAGTGTCACTCTATCAAAACTACTGGGGCCTCAATGCAGTCACCATCTGAGACGGTGTCCCTCTCCTGCTGACCAGATCTATTGGTGGAAGGCTCAGTGATACCACAACTTCCAGTGCCTAGAGCCTCATTCACATAAGGCAAATGACAAGTGGAAGAATGCCTTCCAGATGATGCACCTTGGCCAACTAGTATGAACACATTATCACGCCACTTGGTCACTCCTCAGAAATTACTAACCAGGTCCCTAAGAGAGTCAAAAACGTCTGGCAATTCCTCAGAGTTCACCAGGTAATTTAAGAGTTCATTCTGTTTATCTATACTACAGCCCAAATAACTGACAGCCTCAAGAAGAGAAGTGGGTTCTTCTGGAATTTGAAGTTTTTCGTCACCTCTACTCCAATCCTTGTTACCTGGCCTCAGACCCACGGCATCAAAACTCATGCATCCAACATAGTGCCACCTCTCCATGGAGACTCTCCTCTTCTCTCTCTCCCACTCCCAGGAACTTGCAGCTAATTGGAGAAGAAGAATTGTACCTAACTTAAAGGAACAATTCATAGACTTGGCTGAGCCAAACTTTCCTTCTAGAATATTAGAACTAAGAGATAAAAAGACTCAATCAGATGGTAAGTGGTCTGTACAATCATATAGATGTGGGGGGTTTTGGAACATATCCAAACACAGAAGGTGATCTACTGAAAGGAGACCAGAGCAGATGTGCAGAGAGTTGCCATGTGACCACTTAGACTCACTCCCTAGCCAGGACTGAGGGCAGGATGCAATTCCAAAGAAGTGAATGTGAGCTGGGCTGTGATGCCAAAACGTCACCACCACAGAAATCCTAAAGCCTCATATCTATGCCAGAAAAGAGAAGAGTCACCTGGGTTTTTAAGGTGACAGAAATCACTTATTCCCACTAGGAAAGTTATGGGTCAGGGGGACAGCCTTGGGAACCACTGGGCAAACTAGGAAAACACTGACACCCTGACCAGGGAAGAGGAGGAAACTCTGCTCCTAACATATTGTTATGATTTTTTATTAATTATGAAAAGGTTTACCTGCTTACTCTACAAATACTGAGCACCTACTATGTGCCAGGCACAGTTTAGGTGCTAAGGATTCAGCAGTGAGCAAAATAGACAAAAACTCCTTGCCTTCATGGAGCTTATATTCATATGGGGGAAAAATTAAATGATTACAAACACCCATGCATGCACCACACAACTTAAGACCCAGCATAGCTATTTACCAGAGGCTATGAACACTTTACAAAAAGTCCTGATGAAACTGATTCCTTCCTAATTAGTTTGGCTTCACATTATGCTTAGTCCTCTTTTTATTTTGTCATGTTTTAACTTGGTAGTATGGCTTCATCTATCCTAATATTGACTTAGAAACCTGTATTGTAACCCAGGCCACCCACATTTCTGACCAACTGGCTACAAACTTTCAAGGGTTCTCACTACCCCATCAGATACCACACTTCACTGGAATGACTCACAGAGTTCAGGAAAGCACTATACTTTTTTTTTTTTTTTTTTTAAGATTTTATTTATTCATTTTTTCCCCCCAAAGCCCCAGCAGATAGTTGTATGTCATAGGTTCACATCCTTCCAGTTGCTGTATGTGGGACTCGGCCTCGCGCTGGACGGAGAAGTGGTGCCTCGGGGCGCGCCCGGGATCCGAACCCGGGCCGCCAGCATCAGAGCGCGCGCACTTAACCGCCAAGCCACGGAGCCGGCCGGGAAAGCACTATACTTATGATTACAGTTTTACTGTAAAGGATACAAATCAAAACTGGCCAAATGAAGAGACACATAGAATGAGATCTTGGAGGAAACCTGAAGCTTCCATGTCCTCAGGACATGTCACCCTCCCAGCACACTGATGTATGATTATCAACCTAGGAAGCTCACTCGAGTTTCAGGTGTCTGGAGTTTTTATTGTGGTTTCATTATATAGGTATGATTGATTGAATCATTGGCTTCATGATTGAACTCAATCTCCAGCCCCCATTCCCTCTCCAGAGCTTGGGATGTTAGGCTGATCATGTGGTTCAAATCCCCAAACCACCAATCATGTGGTTGGGTCTTTCCAGCATGGCCAGCCCTCACCCTGAAACTATCCAGGAACCCACCATGAATAAAAAAGACACTCCTATCACTCAGGAAATTCCAAGGATTTAGAGGCTCCCTCCAAGGAACCAGAGACAAAAACCAGACAAATTCTTTATTATACAACAAAACCAGGCAATAGGAAGCTGCCCCACAGAATGGTTCCTCAAGCTCCACAAACACAAGCAAAGGGCACTGTGCCTCCACGCCAGCCTGTAAACACTGCTTACAGACAATTTGGTTGGTCAGCGTTTCTTACCCCCACAAAAATCTCATATCATAATTCACTGCATTGCTCCACCACCCAACATACACCATTCCATAGCTCTTATAGCTTCCAGACCATTATTTACCCCAAATTCCCAAATTAACTG